ATAAAGTTTTTCTAACACTTCTTTCCGGTACGAACCATTAAAAGTTTTAGAAAGCCTCTTTTCAGAAATCTTTTATGAAGATTTTTAGTGAAAAGCCAAAAATCCTTAAAAAAACGAACTTAAGACTTTATTCCTGCGAGTTACAGTCGCAATAAGGTGGTACCAGGAGGATATGCACTGTTAAAAGTTTAAATAAAGCTATAAGTTGAGTTCCTTTTCATGCGGAATTTCCCATAGGAATCCAGTTTACTTTGGTATAAGATATTATTAAATAGATATTATGTAACAAAACAGGAATCGCTTCATAGTATGTACAAAATAAATTTTTATGGTCTGGAGAGCCTCTTAGAAGAAGTCTACAGAGATTCATAAATTTTCTATTAGAATAGTTGTATAACGCGCTTCTAAATTTAGTGAATATATAATGGTCATTACTTTCAATAAAGGTAAAAGGTTAGCAGAATTCTTTATAAAGGATAATATTTTTAGAAATTAATGGTCACAATTTAAAAATCAACTTTAAATGCTTCTTGTGTAGCTACTCCGCCCTTATATGCAAAGATTATATATATATAAGGATATTAATGATAAAATTTTGCAAAGAGTTTGCTTTAGCCTAACGAATAGGAAATCCAATTATTATAACAGGGTCTTTTACAGGCCGCCCCAGAATAGTACTGAAATCTTTTTTTTAAACAAAAATTAAATTGTAGCAATTAAATGTTTTAGACCAATCAGAAATCTTACTATAAATTTAATTGCACCCGACCTGCTAAAATAAGATGATGACTTTTACATTAAGGACCCCGTTTCCTACATGCCTCCATTGCATGTTGCGTTTCAAGCAGATCGAGTAGTGTAATGCCAACAATATTAAGACCCTCCCTTCTTCTTAGCCTTCTTCTTTTCAGAAGTAATATTATGTCCATAATAAATTAATGAGAGGCAAAGTACCCTACATAAGTGGATGTGATCCCCTTTTAAACTGCCCAGGTAAGTTTTTAATTTTACTATAGGAATTAATTTTATCACCCACTAAGTTATGAAAGCGCAATTTATATTTCTTTACGGTAGAAGATCTTAAACTAAAGTTACAGGCATTTCTGGAAAAAAAATAAATTGACTTTATGAAGTATATTTTCTTGTGAACGAAAATTCTTATCATTAAAATTACTTCATCTTTAGCTTTAAAAATTTCGGTCTAAAAATCCAATTTTAGGCGCTTAAAAGCTTGAAGATTAACATAAAGATTAATTTTGCTTATAAGCTCTAATTCGTCTGTAGAGTTCAAACATTTTTTATTACCATAGCTTTGAAGAAAAAAAACAATTAACTTCTTTTTAAACAAAGTTATTAACAAGCAAAAACAACTTATATATATATTTCTTAATTCTTTGTTGTCCAACATCAATAACCAAATTTTCAGCTGTTGGAATTTGAAAAGGTTTATTAACTTCAGTCACAATTTTTTTTATTCAACAAAACGATGGAATAAATTTTTAATTTACTAACAAGGAGCGAGCCCATTTTCTTGCATACATAAAAAATTTCCATGCAACCTAGCTTCGTAAAAGTTGTCGCTACCACGCAAGGAGACAACTCTGTAAAATGTTGATAAGTTTATTATCTACTCCCACTATTTCAGGACAGTTTATGATCTCTTTTTAGGAGATATTAAAGTCATATTAACCCGTACTAACACCTCCCGTTCTTCAACTAAATATTGGAGTCAATATTCAATACATAGCTGTATTTATATTTACCATATCTTTTAAGATAACGCCATCTGGCACTTCATCCTCAGAGACTTTTTTTCTCTAATTTCAGTAAACGATAAAAGTATAACTTTTTTAAGTGACTTTGAATTGATAAGTATTCGTAGGGAAGAAAAAAAAAACCAACACAAACACGTTCAAGTGTTCTTGAAAAAGTTTTATAACTAACAAATTTTGGTTTGATTGCAGCTGCTCTTACCTTCAAAGGCGTTCAGACATGGTAACAATAGCTATACTTTCACTTTTAATAGCGTAAATATTTAAAAATGTTTACTAACCCTGGTAGATAAACTTAACGTGTATGTCAGCAGAAAACAGAAGGAAATCAATAAAACTTTTCTCATTTTTAAAAAAAATGTAGTAAGGAAGTTGCACAAGTTTAAAAACTAATGACTTAGTGGAAGTTGCAATACTTACTAGACATGCAATCTCTCCTCAACCCTAACAACTTCCACGCTTTACTCGTTGCAACGCTGAACAAAAATGTTTTCGTATAACATCGCAATAACACGTAGACGAAGCTCTACGGAAGCTAAGCGAGAAAAAAAAAAGTACTATAAATTTAGCTATTAATAATTTTATTTTAATTAAAAAGTGGCAAATCCTACCCTAGCTTGAGGCAAAAAAGACCCTATATTATAAAATCTTTTAAGGAAGATTTTGCGTCCAGGTGAATCCTTTTACATATTTTGGTTGGTATTTCTTTTAGTAGCAGTCTAAATTATTGAATTAATTGCCTTTAACTTATTTTTTTTTAGCTCTTCAAGTATTTTAGTACTCTTTTCTTTTTGACTTTTATTTTTACTTCCTTCAGTTATTGAATGTATTTTGAGGCTCTTATATTTATGTTTTCATAGGATCTTTTATAACTAAATGGTTTGTCGTACAAAATCTATTTTTTGCAAGTGTAATAAATTCCAAAAAATATGGAAACGTTTTCTAATTTTTAATATTTGTTAAAATTTAGTTTTGTTTGTATATTTATGACCCTAGGAAAAATAAGGCTTATTATAACATCTAATTTTTTTCTGTTCAAAAATACATAGTAAAACATAAAAACTTTTTAGTTTCCTTAAATTTACTATAAACAATTATATAAAGAAGACTTACGCTAAACCTTAAAGGGGTTCAAGTAAAAAAAATTCTAGGTGGTAGGTAGCTTACAATATAAAATTGTTTCGTAGTGTAATACACCTTAAGTTCTAGGAAATAAAGATCCTTTAAAACCTAAAGAAGAAAAATACACCGAAGTTACACTAATCAGATTTTATAAATCTTATAACTAAGATTATACGAATTACTTTATTCAAACTTACATTTTAAAAAAATTTAAAAAAGATATAAAATAAACTATAATATCTGTATATAAAAATAAGATACATTACAGAAGTTTGCTTTATAGTTATATTTAATAACAGCTTTATTTAGTAAAAATAATGTTTAATTACTTTTACTTTCAGAGTGTAATTGTAAAAATAGAATGTAATCTTTTCGTATATAAATTGAATTATAGACTTCTGCTAATGACAGTTTTTGTAAAACATTCAAACTTTCATAACGCCTACCACAGCTAACCCTAACCCTAGGAAGACCTGAAAAAAAAAACCCCTGATATACCAAACGCATGTAATGTATTTTAATAATAATTTTTCCAAATTATTATTTAATTCATAAAAGTTTTTTATTAGTACAATAATAAAAACAAAAAGTAGGAAAAAAATATCTATAAAAAGTGTAATAATAATAAAAACTAAGGAGAGTATTATAGTAACACCAAGCAGTCGTTCTCTACGAGTGGTCACAATTTCGCGTTCACTGTCTGTTCGCTTCGATAGGGGTAATCTACCCTCAATATTTGCTCTAGAAAACCCTAACCCCTGCAAGACGGCAGAAGTGAATGGCTTATTAAACTTCTTGTTAAGGCATACTATAGACTTGTAATCAATCTCTACTTAATAACCAAGCAGGAAGGGAAAAAAAGGTTTAGGTTATCTAACATGGTATACCCCCCCCTTCCTCCCTTTCTCTCTCTCTCCCCCCTTCTCAAAACCCCTCGCTTTTTTTTTGGCTGTATTTTTGATGCAAGATAATTCATTAATAGTATTATTTAAATTGTTAATAAAAAGACGAAGAAACTAACTTTTAATTTACCTGTTAATAAATATTTAAAATTAGCTGGAAAATATAAATAAAATTATTAGCGCATACCCGCAGTGCCGTAGTCCTTGAGTTAATGAATCGTTAGTTTTTGCTGTTTTTCTTTCTCTCTGTCCTGTTTACTTAAAAGAAGCAATAGAGTGAATAACTTCAGTACTTATTCATCTAAATGTTAACGGTAGGGAAACGGAAGTAAAAATCGGGAATGAAAATAATAAAAAACCATTCCGCTACAAGTGACAGAGTCTGTTCGTATGTATCATTTTTCCTTTATTAACCTCTAATGAATCATTTTCTATTAAACCACTCACCTACACACATTATATTGATTACATTGTTAATAATATGTGAGCAAGGTGTATACTGCCTAGTTGTATGGTATAGTACGGTAGATAGTAATAAACACTATAAAAGTACCGCTCTAAAAATCCGATAAACGAAGATGGGGTCACATGCTACTAGCACAAACCATGTATGACAACTAGATATATTATATTAAGGCCTAGGAATTTTCGCACAGATGTTGGCCTCTGTTCCCATCATCAAGATGGCCATCGCGATCAAGTTGTGTTCTACTGGACTTTTTTTTTTAATCACTGCATTAATACATTTAATAGGCCCCCATTATTGAAGGGACTGGTTTAGATCGAAGTTTTTTAACAGACTTAAGGAAAAGAAAGTTACTGCTCCCTTTGGAGAGGTACTGTACTGACTATATAATATTTTTGTTCTTTTTGACATGGTAATAACTTACCCTAATAATGATAGTTATTTTTTATACCTTCTTTGTTCTTCACTTGTTACCTTCGTTTTTAATCTATAGCCTTCTGATGACCTAAAAGTAAGCGCCATTGCAGGTGGGTGTCGACTATGTGTTACTTGCTAGCCATGAACGATCTCATTTCATACAACCAACTAATATAAACTTTAGGGTCAATTAAATGGGCTTTAAACTATTATCTAACTACTTCGAAAATTTCAAGAGCCCTTTTATTAACATTATATTCAGTGAAATTTCTATTTTAAAAATTTTTAAAGGTCACACGATTAATTTTGGCCTCTACGACCTGTTGAATCTCTAAGCCAGGAAATTGAACCCGGACACTGTGTGTTTCTTGATCAGGCCATTGGTCGGAAGACTAAGAGAGCTAGGTCATCGTTTATCTTTCTTATTTATTTTATGAAAGTAGCGACCTTTACATTATTATCTTTAAAAATATTATTCTACCGTACTTCTCTCTTTCCACTAAATGTTGATGTTCAGGCGCCTTTTTTTACTCTTCTCTTTATAAGGTACAAACGTTCTATGACGGAGTGGTTGGTCATCCGAGTGGAATTTGCCATCTTCCTCTTGTAAGTCCCTTTATTGAAAAACTGCGAGATGCCTTTAAAGAAAACACCTCACCCTTGGGTATTCCTCATCACACAAAATGTTGTTTGCCGCTAAAACAGTGCTGACCATAGGAGAGCCTCATCATTTCTGTAGGGACCGTAGTCCCTATTGAGGGCCCGTGGTTGAGCAACAGGGCCGAAAGCCTTATGTATTGCTCATGGGAAGGTGACGTTATCAACCTGAGTACGTTTCCCGAAGTGATTCTGGTTAACGAGGCTGGTGGGTCTTGGGTAAAATTCTCGCTGGGCGTACACTTATATGCGTCTTTTTGTTTGAAAGGTTTACTCCACGCGTCGGTTGCCTTAGCTACAGATTACCACTGCTGGCGTAGTGAAGAAAAACACGTACGTTTTTGCCCTGTAGGCAAGATTTCGTATCATATTAAAACTTTTTCTTGGCTAATTTTCAGTGTCGGTGTAAATAAGTGGTCATGGCAACGCTACGCAAGGACTCGGAAAATTGCAAACAGCTGATTTTAATCATCATTCCTTGATTGGCGACCATCGATAGGTCACAAGACATCAAGGGTGCAAAGGAAACCGGCAACACTCTTCCATTATGCTTCCGTCCATAAAAGAATAACAATTATACCTAAGTTAAGTTTTCAGGTATGCAAACGGAAACATACTTGTTCATTTAGTTATAGAATTAAACCTAATACATAAATAAACTTTTCAAGTAAGCTATTTTAACCGTAATGACTCATCAACTTTTTTTTTGCGGACGTGAGTTGGTTCAGAGTTTGTTGCTCTTCTCTCGTCTTTAACTTCCAAAAGTTAAGTTAAAAGTTAATTATTTATTAAATACTGCATATCTTCATATCCTATAGACTCAAAGAAAATTAGTTATTATTATAGAGAGCATTTTTTGAGCGGTAGGCTTGTAATTTTTTTGTCTAAGCTCTTAAATAAAAATTTAAACGGCTCTTCGCTCTTTTCGATCATAAAAACTGAGACTCAAACCTTTTTACCACAAAGAAAAAAATATCAGACCTACAAAGAAAGAAGGAAACAGCAGCAGACTTTAACCTACTGTCAGGCCATATAAAGAAGCTGAAGTAATCTTAGTACTTAAATGCTAAATTATTGGTCTATTGGCTTACAAGCTTGCTCAGTGGCTTGGGAAAATTGACTTAGGTAATGCTAATTCAACAACTTTATTGTATTAGGTTTGTAAGGAAAATACTTAAAGAATCAACTGATCTTGAGCTTAAGAAACATGGTTACAATGCTTACTTAAAAATACAGGTCTTAGTTAATTCAGTTGGGCGTGCTTATGCTCAACTTAGGGTGCAGTGTACTTTCGACAAGCGAGCTTTTCTCTCGCCTTACAAAGCTTAATTAATTGTTCAGCTTGAGTCGAACACTGGTTGTTCGTAGAAATGAAACCCAGTAAAAGTCAAAAGTTCAATTTTGTCACTGCTTTTACTTTTATTTATTAATCAGGTCATCCCACCATGGCCTATTTAGACTCATATATGCGAATTACACTGCATTAATGTATAGATTCAAAGCTACCTGCCTTGGTTTGACTACATCTATATCCATAAGTTGAGTTAACCAGGAATGTCTCACCGTGGTGTCAGTCTTTCGACACTCTTCTTATTGCACCCCCTAAGCCCCAACAAAATCAAGGGTTGTCTAAAACGTAGTTTCTTTATGTTTCGGTAGCAGGATACCATGAAACCGTTTACATTAGCAAATTTCATTGGAAGGCACATTTAGATCACGCAAATAATTACCTTATAGTCACCTAACTTTACTCAACCTAATGTCAAAAAATGCAAACTTAAACTGGGGAACAGACTTCAGACTTCATTTCTAAATTAAGTTAACACAACTCAGCTTAACCTAAGTTTCAATAACGCTGTCGTACTCATCATGTTGCCCTTTTTACTACCTGCAGATTTTTTAAGAACAGTTCCGAATTTATATAACGTAGTTAGATTTATTAGTGGTTATCAACCAGGGCTCAGTTTATTAGGATTATTTTATACGATATCTTATTTAACACTAACGGATCAACTATTTAAAAATTTCCTTTAATATTGCTCAGAGTGGAATATATCAGGACACAGGATGTAACCTAAAATAGTTACACTTTGTACAAATCCTATCATTATGCCATTAAGTACATATAAAATTACACAAAAAAAGTAAGAAATATTCTCCTGCATAAAATGTTTGCAGTTACATTGAGTTTTACATAGGACGCAACGATAATTACAAATTATAAATACAAAAATTATCGGGATGCAGTATAAAATGTACTTATACCATAGGTTTAATACCAATCTCTCCTGCATGTACTGTAAAAATACGTGGTGCTTAGATAATGCAACTTGCTAGTAGGCAAACCTTGAGCATATCCGCTGTATTGTTTTCATGAGCGATATACCAAAAAAATACGGGTCACTAATGACACCTTAGAGGAGCCAAAAGTTATCAATATAGAGAAATTTCCAAATTTCGCGATGTTCCAGATTGTGACACACTCTTAAGGTTAGTGTTGGTTGAAGGCAAATATCTTAATGAGGTAAGATAGGCTAATCTTTCTTTTATGAAGACGCATTTACCCTTGTGGCTTCTCTGGTAGCTTCCGCAATTGCCATCAATTCATTTTCCATCGTCGAGAGGGTGTATTATTCGCAGCACGAATTTCCAAGTAATCGGGATGGGGCCCCTGGGAGTTTTCCGTACAGGTCGCGTAGTCACTCTTGCTAAAACCTTTCCAGCTTGAGGGTACTGTAGCTATTGTAGCAGATTTCGTATACCCTTCGCACCAAAATCAAGCATCTTATTAACGTTTTTTAGCTTACGCTTTTGGTGGTAGGCTTGAGTGCCTTTTGTGATAGTCTGTGCACTGCGAAAACTATAACTGGACGTGATACCATGAATAGATAGAGTTATCACCACACTAGTTCTACATATGGCGTATTCTTTAGTAGGCGGTTGTCGCCGTTAAAAGTATAGGTTCCTATATAATTTAAAAGGCTTGTCATAATTCATTCTGGAGTGTAAACGAATAGTAGTAATATACATTTCCAAATGTAACGTTTTAATCCATCGTTCTTCTCGACATTCATACTTGGTATCTTCGATGCCTTTTCTAGCTTTTTATAGTCACGATTTCATCAATGTATGTGGTTTCTTCCTTGTATAGAAAAACATGAGTCAATATGGCACTTGTGGACACCAGAGCAGATAAAGCCCTCGTGTATAAACGGTAGTCCATCTTATTCTGGACTACTTGAGATCAGGTATAGGTTTGAAAAGTTTAACGCAGTTCGAACCATTAGGCGCAGAGTGTACGCTTCAGGTTGTTCCATAAATAATTCTTCGGCTAGGGTCGACATATAAAGCCGTCATGAACAATAATTTAAAATACTTACATACTAAGCATAGCTGATAAGTGCAAAAATATCTTAACTTATTTGATCTCTGCAAATGGGCTAAAAACATTCAAAAAATCTTCTCCATCGATTTGCATGTATCTCTTAGTACAGATACGAACCCTGTATCGATCAATAGTGCCTTCTACATTAGTTTTGACCTTGAAAACCTATTTACAGCCGTCTCATTATCCTTCAACTGGTAGGATGGTATAAACGCAAGTAAAAATTCTTTATGGGATAAAGTTTATGCTCATAGGTAAGAAAAACTGAACTTTAACTATACTGTTTATAGCTTCCCAGTAAATCTTGGGTTCCGGTACTTTCCAGGTATGCATGGGTAGGTCATGGTATAGGGCACTGTGTCTCGTGTTTCCCTAGTATTGTATGCTTTAGTCTCCTCGTGGTAGGACTTTTACCTCTACCTAATGTTCGTTTATATGAACTGACAACAAGGGCATTAGAATTGACTAGGGTTCAACAACAAAATTCGAGCCTTCATCCTCGTTTCAAGTCCAGAGGCAGAGTTCATAGACGGCTATATCTAAGGTACCTGATTTTGCACAATATTATACAATGCCTTGCAAATTTGAAATACGCAAAACATTTTTAAGACCCCATGACCTCCCCGCCCACTGGATTAGGTCCCATGTTCTTTAGGATTTTTTCTTGTATCGCTGACTGCCGTGTATCTTTGTACCGATGGCTTCGTAAAGAAGCTTCACCCCCTAGCTATTATTGCGCCCTGAGCCAGCTCTATCAATTGTGATATATTAAAGGGCGCCTGGTAGTTTTTCTCAGTTCTACCTTTTGTGGTAGTGTTTTGGAAAGGGTATAATGGGTAGTGAAAACTCTTTTCTGTTTTCATCGATTAGTCCTTTAGGTAAATACTACATGGTATTCTAGTTACGAATTGGGCGCACCACTGAATCGGATGTACTTGTGTAGAATTTTGGAAGTATAACTCACGCATCGCTTCGGAAAATACCAGTTTACCCTCCCCTCAAGAAGGGCCAAGGCTTGGGACGGGCGAGTATAAACCCTCCGTAAGCAACCGGTTACCTGGCTTAATCGGTTCAACTAATGAAGTGATTTGCCAATACATTTTTTTTTAGCTCTTTTAGCTCTACATGAAGAATTCAGTAGAAAAGTTAGGTCTTTCCAAATTACAGTCTTTCTTTGCTATATCTAAATTACCTATGATGCTATCCTTCGACATGTCTTGAATGAGGAGGTTCCAGACGTAACTAGGAAGATGCTATAGCTTTAAGAACATGTATTTTATATGTAGTTAGTATAACCCTTAACTCGCCAAGAGCAGCCCTTAACGAGAATGGGGGCAGAAATATTATTTCCCTTTATAAGGCCTAGGTCTTTACTGCAGAAATGTACTTTGTAATAATATGAAGTTAGTGTGTACAATTATCTCCATCCAGCGGTATGCTTTGAGCTCCAAGCCTATTATCTAGGACACACTTAAAAGGGTAGCTTGCTGTTTGCTAATCTTGAATTCTGTTTTATCTTTCTAACCATTCGGACTCAGTTATCTCGTAATTTTTAACCGTGCGTAATTTCTTACCAAGGCGATAAATAAATACTCTGTTGGTTTGATGCTTTATGAAAATAATTTAGTTTTGCTTTATCCAGAGCATACCGCAGGAGGGCACCCTAATTGTGATTATTACCTGTACGGTAACATCAATTTTTTTTAAAACAAGTTGATAAGTGGGTATAAATTTTATGTACTTTAATAATAATAAAAGAGTGCTAAAGCTTAACTCTGTTTCCAACCTCCCCACCTTAATAACTTATTAGCTTTATTAGGGCTGGTTACTAAAGTACTGTTTTAGTTAGATAAACATCTTGATATAGAACTCTTAGGCTTATAAACTCTAAATAGTAGAAGCGTATCTTTTATCCATGACCCGAACTAAGACTTCACTAGTGAAAGCACCTTAAATGGCTTACATAATGATGAATCAAGAGAAAATTATTCTTGGTCTGGGTAATGTTACTATTTTTCCAATAGGGAAACACACATTATTATGCTCTTTGGAAAAGATGTATAAGAGAACTTAAAATTCTCGAGGCTTATTTTTTTGAAGCATGTCCTCTGCCTTCAACTTTACTTATCTTGCCTTTGAGCGGGGCATTCCAGACCTCCCTTGCTGTGCTTTGAGTGCCTTGTGGTGCTCGCAACTTTCGTTTAGCGTTGTACACTCTTTTGTGTTTGTAAGAATTTCCTGTTCTGCCCCTAGGGGCACGGC